CCTTTATTAGTGATATTTATATAAAATTTTATAACATGGATATTAGCAGTTTGGAACCTGTGTTTCCTTTCATCTTTCCTAAACAGTGTGGTCTTGGTCTTTACCAGTACAGAAGCACTGCATATGGTTTTCCCGTTTAATCTGATGATTTTAATGACTACAACCGTTAGGCTCATATCGCAATCCTTAAAGTGATACCACTTAATTGAAAGCACATTTAAATCATCATAAGCAAGTCCAAAGAATCCAGAATCACTTAGTTTTCTATGATCTTCCTGTACTTTGCACATACTGTACCCCAAATCTGTTGTATTTGGACATTTTTACAGTTGTACTCTCTTTTGACTTGCCTGATGCTCGCACTTTATTTTACTGAATTTTTCGTAATCACTAGTTTTGTTGATGTTTCTCATAGATTATGTTTTATATCTTGTTATTTACACTTGTTTCACTTTCCATATATCTGAAACAATTATGTAAGTTATTTTAGTAAACTCTTAGTGGTAAATTTCCTTAATCTTTGCAAACTTTAACTTGGCTAATCAGTGTTGAATAACAATTTGGCAATGTGTAAAATTCTAATTCACTGTTTATTTTTGCTTGGCTATGAAGATCACCACTTTTCTGACGGCCTTTGCACCACTTCAAGTCTCTCTCTGTGTTGCTTCTTTCTATTTTCTTTTTATCTAAGGTTCAACTTATCATAATAATTTTTGTTTTTGTAATATCCATCACTGACAACCCAAATGGTTTAAGATCTTGGTCAGACATGATAATACATTCCTGTAATTGCACAGCATTGGAGGTGGCAATACATGTCTTTAATTACAGGGCATGGGAAGTGGAAGCAGGATCATCAAGGTCAGCTTGGGCTACATTAGACCCTGTCACAATCACTCAATCACTCACTCACTCATAAAAAGTCTTGTTAAAAGTGTTTTATGACCAAATATATATATTCTCCCCTAGTTTATGCTGCTTCATTTTTTTGAGAGAGACTCTCATTATGTAGCCCAGCTTGGCCTCAATTTTATGATTCTCCTGCCTCAGCCTTCTGAGTGCTGGGATTACAGGCATGTGCCATGAAACACGTTTTTAACATGTACTGGATATTTCCTTATTTTTTTTTCTTTTTGCTTCATATTTTTGTGTGTATGTGTATGTTTGTGTACATATTAGTGTGTTTACAGGTACATATGTATATGTATAGGTGTATGTGAAGGCTAGAGGTCAGCTTCAGATAGTCCTCAGGCACCATCCATCTTGTTTCTGACACTGGGTCTCTCATTGCCCTGGGGCTTATTCATTTAGCAAAACTACTTGGCCAGTGAGTCCCAGTTATCTACCCTTCCCTGCCTTCCTAGTGTTGGGATTACAAACACTACCATGCACAGCTTTTTTGTTTTCTTTTGTTTTGCTTTTTGAGACAAGGTCTCAGTGTAGTCCCAGATGGCTTGTAGACAAACTTGTAGACAAGTTTAGCCTGAATATCACAGAGACTCTCCTACCTCTGTCTCCCAAGTGCTGGGATTAGAGCCTTGCCCCGTCACACCTGGCTAACACCCAGCTTTTTTACCCAAATTTTGGAGGTCAAACTCAGGGCCTCGTGTTTGTTTAGGAACCATGTTGCCAATTCCCCGGCCCTTGCATTTTTTTTCTCAAACACCCACCCTTTGTTTTCTCTCCTGTCCTTCATGCTCTCTTCAGCCTCATCTCTCATTTAAGGTATGATATTTCTCTTTCTTAGCCATTGATTCAATCCCCATTCTTGGGGCTCTGCCATTGATAGTGTTCCTCTGATTCACAATAAAGGTCCTAAGATGACATCGGTGAATCTGCTGACACAGAGGCAGCTAGGTTGAGTCTTGGCCTCAAGATCTGTTCTTCTGGGGCTGGAGAGATGCTTGGCAGTTAAGAGCATTCACACAGGTTCAGAGGTCAGTTCCCAGCACCTACATCCAGCCATCCATAACTCCAGCTCCAGGGCCTCTGGCACCTTCATCTGGTTTCTACAGTACACTTACACACATGTGCACACACATACAGGTGAACACACAAATACATACACATAAAATGTAAAAGTTTTTGAGAATTTCCTACATGAATGCTATATTTATATCATTTCCACTCGTCTCTCTCCACAACTCCTCTCATCCTCCCATTCCTTCTCAAATCCATGGCCTCTTTACTATATACATATGTGTGTGTATTGTATTGTATTGTATTGTATTGTATTGTATAGAATAATCATTCATTTAGTGTTGCTTGTGTGTACATGTGTTTAGGGATGACCACTTGGGATTAGATAACCTATCAGGCTATCAGGGAGCCTGTCTCTGTAGAAAACTGATTCACCCTCTCTCAGCAACCCTTGATTACCTATAACTTTTCATCAGTAGTTGGGACCTTATGAAATTTCCTCCATCCATGTTGGCATGTTAATGGTGTGGTCATTATGCAGGTCTTGTTTAGGCAATCTTTTTACCTGCCTTCCATGAATTTCTCTGAGCCTTAGGTATTGTTGCATTGTAGATGTGTCAATTGAGGCTGGGCACCCAGTGATGACTTATTCTCTGCATTTTGGTCAGTTGTGGATCTCTGCAATAGTCTCTATCAGTTGCAAAAGAAACATCTTTGATGAGTAGCAATAGCTACATTTTTCTGTGGGTGTGAGGATAAGTATTTGTAATACAGTTAGAAATTATATTGGCTTGGGAAAATAGCAGTAGTAGTTTCTCTTATAGAGCCTACGACCTCTCCAACTATGGGTATTTAGCTAGTCTTACAATATCAGCATGTAATCACCCCTGTTGAGCCACGCTTAAGTCCAATTAGACAGATATTGGCTACCCCTAAGACCCTAAGACATAAGTGCCACTATTGCACCATTATGGATGTCTTGCTGGGCCTGTCACTGTTGCAATTCACAGGCTTTTCAACTGGGTCGGACTACTAATTGCTCTTCTCCCTTGGCAGCTTGCACAGCACCATCTGCTACTGTGGGAGCTAGTTCTCAGGGAGGAGGTCTCCAAGTCAGTTCCAGCTTGATTCCTGTGTCTGAAGTGTATGGTGTGTTCAGCAATAGGGTCTTAGATTCAAGTTCTAGGAGGCAACCATGGGCAATGGCAATGGCAATAGTCTATACTGTTTTGGGAGTCTTTTGGATACCCTCGGCCCAAATAAAAGGTCAATGGGCAGTTTTCCTTGCCTATCACTGGGGTTTTTGTTAGATAGTCCATGATTCTTGAAGGGTGCATTATCATCCAATGGGGGAATAACTCCATTTATATATTGTTTAAATACACACACACATATGTATGTGTTTATATGTGTACATATATACATATACATATATGTGTGTGTATTTTAAAATAAGCTTATAAAATATGTTATTCTATAGTTTTTCAAACACCCTCAGTGTGCTATTTATCTCTCCGTCCACTGTCTCCCTCTGTATTACTCTCCTCTCTTACCCAGTTAAAGGCCCACCCTCTTCCCCATTTCCTACGTCACAGTGCCTGTGTCCTACTGTCCCCTCTCCAAAGTTCTCCCCTCCTCATCCTATCTTTTTACTCTCCTGTCTTCTGTGGTTACTTCAGTTTATTTACTCAATGCTAAATATTCTGATAAAGAATCCACAAATAGGGGAAAAAGGCCTTCTTCATTCTGGGTTGGAATTACCTACTCAGAGTAATATTTTCAAGTCCATTCATTTTCCTGTTAATTGTATGATTTCATGTTGGCTTGCTTCACTGATGAATAGAACTCCATTGTGTACATGTACCATATTTTCATTATCCATTCATCAGTTGAAGGACATTTAGGTTGACTACTAAGATAACATCAGATATAAATTAATGCAGCTACAGATAACAGAGAGCTTCGAGGTTGAGTCCTGGCCTCAAGGCCTGTTTTTCTCCTTGCCCTAGCTCCTTCTTTATACCTTTACCTGTCAGTCAGTTGGTCTTTTCATGGCAAACAGCTCATGAACAGCCTAACTGTGCGGTGGAAACAAGACGCCAGAGTGAAGGGTCAGAGTTGCTCATCACTAGCTTCTACTAGTTTCCCACCTGCTGAGTTGTTCAGTCTTCCCTGTGGGCCATCATAAGCAATGTTTTCTGAACAAAGACTGACCTGCAACAAAGTGCCACCATGCCATCTGGGGGAATAGTCTCAGGTGTGTCTTACCTCTGCTGACTCCCACTCAGAAAGCAAAGCACGGCAGTACGTGGCTCCATAAGCTCTCCCTGTGTTGAGAAGGACTGTTCTAATCAAGACGGGTCATTCACTTCCTCATTGCACGTTAGAATCACACCTGGGCATTTGAAAATGGCCATACAGATGCTTTATCCCAGGTCAACTGAATGAGAATCTCCAGAAGCCATGAGCGGTGCCAAATGCTTTTTGTATCATTGTAACACACAGCTCTGCCTGGGAACCACCGCTGTCTTCAATGTAGTCACAGCCTGTCCTGAGAACCACTTCACTTGGTTCGGAGAAATTATGACATATCCTTATCAGGAGACATTCAGCAATGTCTGGAGATATTTTGGTTTGTCAAACTAAGGCTTAGATTTAAGTTTTTGCCCTTCCATTTAAAGTAGTCTCTGGTAAAAACACCATCATGGAACAAATTTGAGAGAAGGGAATATAGAGGGATTTTACTTTCAGGATATGATTCAGTAGCTGTCAGGAAGAAAGAGCTGAGAATGTAGGCACAGGTATCATTGACGACACTGTGGTGTTTCTCAAAGCTAAGCCTTTCCTGTTGATGCTGCTTTGCTCCTGAAATTAAACAACAGGAGGTGCTGACAAACAATCTTAAGACACATATTGTGTCTTCAGGTTTAAGTTGACCATCTGACTGTTTTGTAATTTTGTCAAAATGTTATTTTCCTTTTCATTATTTCTAACTATATTTCTTCCCTTAGAATATTGATTTGCCTGAGCATATAGTCTCTTAGAATAATCATCTTAATTTTTTCTTCATTATTTTATAGCATAAAGAAAAAAGTAGAGTATGAGTCTGAAATTCAGTCTTTGCTGGAAATGAAGATAAAGAATAAAAGTTACCTCAAACAATTCTACAAGCAGGCTTATCACATCGGCGCCATTTACCACATAGCTAAACATAAGACAGATGATATTGAAGATCAAATAGCAGAAGTGAGAAGACAGTTCAAGGTTGTGTATCTTTGTGATTTTTTTATTATGAAAAAAAGATTAATCAGAATTTTCTTGATTTTCTTCATAACTATATTATAGTCTAAGGGTAACTAATCTTTTCAGGTCTGTGTATGTCCATGGACATGATTTCAAATCCCCAGAACCCATGTAAAAATTGAGCACAGTGTAACTGGTTGGGGGTGGGTACAGAGACAGGCTGATCCCTGAAGCTCATTGACCAGTCAGCTTAGTCAGATCAGTAAGCTTCAAGATTAGTGAGAGACCTTATCTCAAAAAGTAAGGGAACAGGGATTGAGGAAATACATCTGACATCTACTTTTAGCCTCGACATGTGCACACACATACACACATATGCACACACATCTACACTAATGCGTATATACACCACACACATAAAACACAACACACACACCATACCACACATGCATACCAAAAAAGAATATTTTCAACAATATAGTTTGTGTGTTTGGTGTGAGATATGAATAATGCTGTGATCCAAACCCAGGGTCTCATGCATACCAGGCAAGTGCCTTACTAGTGGAGGTACACTATTAGCCCTAATAATAGTCTTCCTTTACAACTTTTGACATTCAAGAAGAAAAGCATCTCTCCAAAGAATGAAGGTTCCACGCAGCTGATCAAAATCTGTTGATCAACCAGGAGTATGGAATTGGATTGAATTTTTTCATCATGTACACGTAACTCATAACTCTTGGGATTCTGAGACATGCCCTTGTATCCTGTGTAACATGTAGAGAATTCCTCACAAGGATTGTGAATTATTAGTACCAGGAAATTTCTAGACCACAGTGCTAAAAAAAAAAAATTCACATGCCTCAGATCACTCCTATATGGGCAAGTTTTGGAAGAGTCACTCCCGGCCATTCCTTGCAAAGTCAGCACCCAGGGAACACTGGGACCCATCGCTTCCGCCCGTCAAACTCCATATACCCACCCTTCTCCCATTTGGGGCATTTTCTCATTGAAGATTTATGAGCATAAAATTACCCAAGAAATCTGCACTCTGTACTCTCTTATAGTTCTGTTGGTAGCACTAGCTTTAGGAAATAACTTCCCTAGGAAGATCTAAATTTGGGGAATTTAGACTGCAGTAACGTTTTCATAATGAGGAAATAGGAATAGGGCATACCTTCATTGACGTGTGCTTAGCCTGAGAACTAAGGAGTGCACAGTGAGTTTGCTGTTACTTTCATAACCATCATTCACTACACAGGTTATATTTTGCCTAGTGAAGCTAAATTTAAGATTATTATGTTCGAAATAAAATATAAAACATATATGTATGGTTTAGCCTCTACAATAATATTGTACATACTGTTTCATGCTTCTCTATGACATCAGTTACATTTTTAGTTTTCTCGTAAGCTGTCATTCGAGATAGTACCCTCCATGCCAGTGTTTGAATGCTGCAGTTCACTCTCTTCAGCTCACTGGTAACCACTGCTGTCTTCTGTGGTTTTCTCACAGTCGTCACAAACATGCGAACTTATGCTTCCAACATGCTTTTCCTTTATGTAATACCCTCACTTATTGAGAGGAATTTTGTTACGTTAAACTATTTTTTTTCCAAATTTCCCTGATGTCTTAATATAGAATTTATACAGTGTATGTTGAGTCTGAATCCACCTGATTTATTTATACTTGCTCTGTTAGCTTTCTGTCACTGTAACAGAATACCTGAGACCACCTACTTCAGAGATGAAAGTTTTATTTTGGCCCAGGGTTTCTGAGGCTTAAGTCCATATCACATTAGTCCCATGCTAGAGGCCAGAGACAGCACACTATCTCAAGGTGTGTGTTACAGGAAGATACCAGCGTCCCACACTCCCCTTCAAAAGCACTCCGTCATCACCTAAGACCTCCTGCTAGTCCTGAGCTTTTGAAAGTCCCACTACCTTCTAGCAGCGCCAAGCTGGGGACCAAGCCCTTTACACATTGGGCCTTTGGGGATTCTCCAAATCCAGAGTGTAATACCTGCTTTTCCAGTCCTCTGTGGAGTGCTCCCCTTCCTCCTCTATTCATATCAAATTGAAGAAAGCATTCACTATGGGCTTAACCTACCTGACAGGAGCTAAGATGACTGAAAAAAGAAACTGAAATTGCTTCAACGATTAGCCATTCCCAATCGCTAAACAATCCAGCTCACCTCTAAGCCTCATCACCTGACATTAGATATCTAACATGAAGACATGTACTCCTGGGTCAGAGTGCTATTAAATTACAGATAAGTTTCTAGAGTGTTTATAGAATTTCAAGTTTCTAGTTTTTGCCTATGTAATGACCCTACTGCCTCTTGTTGATCATAAGAAATATCTGCATAACATTTGGAGTGCCTTTGCAGTAGTGGGGGATGGATCCTGATGCCTAGTGCATTCTGGGAAGCACTCCATCACAGATCCACATGCTCTGTTACTGTGTCTCCTTGTAGGTGCTTTTTCCTATTTGTTATCCTAGCCTGGAAATAACTCTTAACTGCTGCTGTCCAGAAAATGATTATAGCCATATCACTTCTGGGGCAGCTCTGAGAACCACCTTTTGAAGCCATAGAAGTAGAATTTCTGAATTATGTTCTTTCAAGCTAATTTATCAGTAAACTGCCAGAAAAGATTTAGGCAATTGATCCTGAATACTCATGGATATCAAACAATTTCCAAAAATTTCCAACTAGAACAAATTTATTACCAATTACTGACCTATTCCACAAAGAAGCAGCTACCCAAACCATGAGATACGATTCACAAGTTAGGATAACCTATAAGTCAAAAAAAGAGGGTAATGCATCTTTAGGGTGATGTTGAATGAATGAGCAAAAGCATCCAGCACCTTGTCAAGGGGTGACACTGCACCAACACCCTTTAAAAAGCTCTCACTAGATGCTAAATTCTTGTCAGCACATTAGTTGAGACTTCTGTGCAAGATCCTGGATTTTATTTTTCATACAAAGAAATTCTGGTCACACATTAGTTAGATCCGATAACTTGTTCCAGATTAGATTAATAGTGACAAAAATAAGTAGAAACTTCCTAGGAAGTAATGAAACGGTGGAGAGAGAGGACAGTGCTCTGCAAAGCCACTTTATACTGAACCACGTGCTGATGACTCTTGTCAACTTTACATGTACAGTCACCATGGAAACAAATCTCTGGGCATATCTGTGAAGTTAATTTTAGATTAGGCTAATTAAGAAGGGAAGACCCACCCTAAACATAAGTGATGCCATTCCTGGCCTAGGGGTCAGGGTTGAAGAAAAGGGAGAAAGGGAACTGAGCACCAGCCTTCAACACTGCGCTTCCTGACTGTAGGTGATGTGACCCCTGCCTCCTGCTGCTATGATTTCCCACTATGGTGGACTGTGCCCTTGTAGAGTGAGTTCAAGTAAACCCTTCCTCCCTGAAGTTGTTTTCATCAGCCTTGTTACTGTAGCAACAAGATAATACAGACTGTTTATATATAATTAAGTAGTTTAATGTTCAAAATACTGTGAAATTGTTATTAACACATTCATTTGGGGGGTAATTGTAGAACATGGGTCAGAATATCTGATGTTGCACTTGGTGTAGTTGTAAGATACCAGATCTGTACTTTGACCAACAGAGGATGTTATCCAACCTCAAAATTTGGAAAATAACCATATTACGGGATCATTTTAGTGTAAAAAAAACAATTCTTGAATGTTCTAGCTCAGTCTAATCCAGTGTTTAATTTTATCTTTAGAAGATTACGTGCTCTCTTTCAACTATTTCAACCAGTCTCAAACTCTTTGAGAAAATTATTGGTACTCTCTTTCGGTCTGTCCATCTGACCATAGCCCCCTGCATATGTACTGTTTTTACCACACTTTCACTTATATGTAGACAGCAAAGTCCAAATGTATTAAATGAAGAATTCTAGAAACACACGCACACAGACACGTACGAGCCCCCTGCATATGTACTGTTTTTACCACACTTTCACTTATATGTAGACACCAAAGTCCAAATGTATTAAATGAAGAATTCTAGAAACACACACACACAGACACGTACATTCTAAACGGTGTGTCCTGAGAGGCATGATGAAATCTCCTGCATCCTGCTCTATCTGCCCCACCTGCACGGCTGTCATCCCTCTGTCTGGGGAATCTGCTCTGAGAGTTTCCTGCCTGTTATTTACTCAGTAACCGTCTTGCTTATCAAGTCAACTGTTACCATATTGCAGAGCCATCATCAAATACTATTTTTACTCATATTTGAAATTGGGGAAGCAAGAACCTCTTAACTATGAGATTATTGTAGGAGGAAAGAAAAGATAAAATATGGAAAAAAAAAAACCCAAAGCGTTAGTCATTCCACAGACTGTTATTACTATTTTTAATGTGTTGTTTAAACTTGATAAACTTATCCCGTTTGTAAGGAAACAGACTCAGAAGTAAAATCTTTGAATTGTTAAAGATCTTTATTTTTCAACCTGAACAGCAAAGGTAGCTCGATACAATGGGTGTTGTTTATGTTTATTCCTATTATTTTTGAGAATGTGTCATCTCCCAGGCTTCAGCTTGGATGTTTTATAAACAACACCATCTACTAGCCACACGGAGGTTCAAGATGGGTACGGCTTTATTCTGTTCCAATCTGAGTAATTCAGACTACTGGAAGATAAGGCTATTTATTCTCAATATCATATTTAGGTTGAGCAAGAGTTTTGGTTAAGGTCATAGCTGCAGTGAAACACCCCAGCCAGCACAGCCAGTGCCAGCTGGGTCTTATCTCACCGATTCAGATCAGCTAGCATTTTGTTTACACAAATGTCAAATTTTGCTTCAAGATTTTAAGTGTTTCATTCTTGATGTCAAACCTTGCATGAGTTCTGTGACACTTTTCTCAGGTCCTGTCCATCACTGTTAGGTAAATGTAAATCAGTGGATGCTGCCTTCTTGACTCTGAGCTGATCTCTGTTTACAGAGTGTTGACTTCCCCAGTCTTTGGCTGCGGGTTTCC